GGAGGCCGTGGGGTGGTCAGAGTGGCCTTAGAGCTCGGGGTCTAGAAAGGAAAGAAAGGGGTGCCGGGGTGGTGGGACCGAGCGGGATCTTAGCCGGGATGGGGTAGCAGCGAGGGAGGAGCCAGTCATCCCTTCTGGGGAAAAGCAGTGAGGATGTAGCCAGAGACGGGGGTGGAAACCCAAGGCTGGGCCTCGGGGCTAAGCGGCTCGGGTGAGGTCGGGAGCTGGCGCTTCTGTCCAGGACTCAGCTGCCCGGGTCCCTCGGGTGCAGCCCTGGTGGCCAGGCCTGGGCCGCGCCTCGATCGGGAAGGACCCAGGAATCATGGCTTGGTGGCGCCCGGCTGGGCTTCCGCCGGCCCTTCCTGAGCCGTGGAGAGAGCTCTGGAGATTGGGCTCGGGGGCCCTGCGCTGGGGGCCTTCGCTCTGCCCTCCGGCCCGCAGCCCCGGGGATCCTAGAAACCGGAGGAGCAGGGTAAAGACATTGCTCGGAACCCTAAAGTAGGGGTGCAGCCTGGTACCTCCCGCAGGCTCTAATCTCGGTAAACTCTGCGCGCACTGTCAGGAGTAGGATTGGCACAAGCGAGCGGTCGGGTACCGCCTGCCCTTTTCAGGGAAGAAACTGCTTACGGTGGTGGAGGGGACCTGGCTGTAATTTAAGGATTATGACTGCGTTGTGGAGGCTTTCTCTTGGGAAGGTGGCCTGGAAATTGAGTCGGAGTATCTTTGTCTCCTGTTGTCCAGGGGAACATAGACGGCCGGAGACAGAACCCAGGGCTTCCCAATACCGGGGAGATGTTGCCACCTTCAGGTCAGCGGGGCGCCAGGGGGACGGTGCACCGCCACTCCCCAGAAAACTGACTTCCTGCTCCTGTGACTCTCCAGGTTTCTCCGGGCTGGTTCCCCCTTCCCACTTCCAAGCCCGGCCCTTTCCTCTTCAGCCCAGAGTGGCGCCAACCTGGGGCTCAGATGTACCTCTCACCCAGCCCCCGGCCCATCAAGTTGTCTCAGAGAGACAGCAGAGGCCTCTGGTGGCCCCGTGGGAACAGGATGTTTCTGGCGATTGCCGAGGGCCAGGTCGGAGAGGCAGGTAGGGATCCATCCCCACCATTTTCTGAGTCGCTTGCTAGTGACCTTCACTTACACAGTTCCTTACCTTATTCTGGCCCTGGTTCCATTACTTGTGCGTTTTTACATAGGCCATTGTTTGTTCCAACTGCATAAATAATAAGCTCATGTGTTAGACACTTGAGATGGTAATAATAAAAACGAATAAGAAACTTCTGACTCCATTAATAAAGCATTTACCTGGGTATGAGGGTGCATGCCTGTAATTCCAGTACTCAGGATGCTGAGGCACCATGAATTGGAGCCCAGCTTGGGCTAAATATTGAATTCAAGGCCAATCTGAACTGCATAGTGAGACTATCGCTTTTCTTTTTCTTGATACTGGAGATCAAACTTAGGACATTGCACTTGCCAGGCTGACGCAAGAGGTGCTACTGACCTAAATCCCAGGTCCTCTTTTTTATTTATTTATTTATTTAGTTTTTGGTACTGGAGATGGAATTTGGGACCTTGCACTCATGAGGCAGGTGGTGGCACCACTGAGCTAAATCCCCAGCCCTTTTTTTTTGAGACAAGGTTTCACTACAAGCATATGCCACTATGCCTGGTAACCCTGTCTCCAAAAAAGGAAAAAGTCAATTAATAAGGAATTCAAATATCAAAAAGATGGGAGAAGTTGACCAGCAGTTAATGGAAGCACAGTCTAAAGCTAGCTGCAGGGCAGAGAGACCTGGGCTATTCTAACCCAAGGGCTGAAGAAAGCCTTTATGGAGACCATGCCATCGGCGCAGGCCGGGCTTCCTGTGAATGTTCTGGAAATTCTCCTGCTGCGTCTTTTCCTAAATGTACGGAGTGTCGATCTGCCACACTTTGAACCCAAAGCGGGATTACCCAGGCAGGAAGGAGTACTAGACTGGTGTCGGGAGACAGATTCTGTTTCTAGGTTGGGGTCTGTAGCAAATCACTTTCCTTGCTCATGGATCCCTTTGATTTAAACAAAACCCCTGTGGTTCTCGGTGAGGGAGCTGTCTCAGGAGCCGTGTTACACGCTGGTTTAAACTTTGTGAACCCAGAGTGTTCTCCTGGGTTCAGGACCCTGTCCCTCACTGAGGTGCGGCTCTCGGACTCTTCACACAGTGCTCATGTTCACTGAAGGCCTGCAGCTGGCGCCCGGTCTGGCTGTATAGGCGCTGGGAACTCGAGACGCCCCACCCAGGGCTTCTGTCGCTTCTTGCCCTTAAACCAGAGCTCAAAGGTTTCTGGGTGCTTTTCTAACTGTTCCACACAGAATGCTGTGCTCATGATGTGCATGCAGATGTTTAATACACCTGCCTGTGTGTAGCTCTCTCCAGAATTCACGGCCCACGATTTCCCGGCCCTTAGGCCCTGTGAGCCCTGACTGGCGCCCAGAGTACAGAGTCCCCACTGCCCAGCGTCACCCCCACACATGTGAGCACGGGTGGCTCTTCCTACAGTTGCCACCTTTACCTCTACCCACGGCACCCACGCCTCCCTCGAGCCGCCCTGTCTTTGAAGGTCGCTGGAGCTGGTGGGATCGCAGGCCCTGAGCGAGCAGGCGGAGCTCATCTCTCGGCAGCTGCAGGAGCTGCGGCGGCTGGAGGAGGAGGTGCGGGGCCTGCGGGAGACCTTGCTGCAGCAGAAGATGAGACTGGAGGCCCAGGCTGTGGAGCTGGAGGCACTGGCGTGGGCCGAGAAGGCCAGCCAAGTCGAGGCCGAGGGCCTGCGCGCCGCCTTGGCCGGGGCCGAGGTTGTCCGGAAAAACCTGGAGGAGGGGAGCCAGCGGGAGCTGGAGGAGGTTCAGAGGCTGCACCAAGAGCAGGTGCGCTCAGGGTGGGAGGGATGCAGATTGGTGACGGACTGGAGAGCGGGTGTCAAGGCCCCGGAGCAGCAGAGCCCTGGGGTCTCCCTCCAAGGACAGCTGGTGGGGGGGGCTTTCTCAGATTGCGCTTGTTTCTTGGGGCTCGATGGCTTCCCATCACCCAAAGGCCTCCTTCCCCTTTAGTAAGAAGTAGTTTTCCTCCCTGTTTTACCCCAGGTGAAAGGGGCAGAGGACTCGGGGGTATCAGGCAGGAAGCTCAGGCTGCTCTGCACCCTGAGACAGGAACTGGTGTCCCTGAGCTCCTGGATGGAGCTGGAGCCCAGCTGATGCGTGGGTCCCTCTGAGGTCCACAACGGGGTGTGGGCGGGTCGGGGTCAAGGCAGGGGAGGCTTGGGAGACCTGGGAGGCCCCGATTTCGGCGCACCGGGCCCTGCTGAGCGTGCTCTTCTCCCCACAGCTGTGCTGCCTGACGCAGGCTCACCAGGAGGCTCTGGCCGGTTTGACCGGCAGGGCCGAGGGCTTGGAGAAGTCTCTGAGTGGCATGGAAGCCAGGAGGGCAGAGGAAGCCAAGGAGCTGGCTGCAGCCCGCAGTGAGGCTGATCTGCTGCGGAGGCAGCTGAGGTAAGCGCGGGCGGTGCCCAAGGGGTCCCAGTGGTTGGAGGCTGGGGGTCTCCAGGCTGCCTCACTGACGGCTGCTCTGTTCCTACCCTGACCCCAGCAAGACCCAGGAAGACTTGGAGGCTCAGGTGGCCCTGGTTGAGAATCTGCGGAAATACGTGGGGGAGCAAGTCCCTCCCGAAGCCGGCAGCCAGGCGTGGGAACCCCAGCGGCAGGCGCTCCTGGACGCCGTGCAGGTGGGAGAGTCGGGCATGGCCTTGGGGCCGTGGGGCTTCAGGTCTGGGCCTGGTGTGGCCCTTGGAGGAGACTTGCAGGGTCTGTGCAGGCCTGAGACAGGCACTTCCGCCCCCCAGCACCTGCAGGAGGACCGGGCCAGCCTGCGTGCCACCGCCGAGCTGCTGCAAGTGCGCGTGCAGAGCCTCACGTGTGTGCTCGCCCTGCAGGAAGAGGAGCTGACCAGGAAGGTAGGCACCCAGTGGGTGGCAGGCCGGGTGTGCAGCCAGGACCCTCGCAGGCCTTCCGGTGCCTGGGCCACCAGCTTCTGCTGTGACTTCTGCTGCTCACGCAGAACAGAGGTGCTGAGGACCAGTGGCATCTCTCCTCTGCTCCGCCAAGAGCCCACACCTCCTCCTGTCCCCAGCTCCCGCCGTCAGACTCCCTGGAGCCCGAGTGTGTGAAGAAGCACCAGTCTCTGCTGAGCCGCTGGCGGGAGAAGGTGTTTGCCCTCCTGGTACAGCTCAGGTCCCAGGAGCTGGAGCACAGAGACTCCCAGAAGGCGCTGCAGGGACGGGTCAGTGTCCCCGCCCCTCCGCATCCTTCCCCAGGCTCCTTGCACGAGGTTGCCATTCACTCCTTAAATACTTCCTGAAGCAGGGCGGTGTGGCACATGCCTGTAATCTCAGCACGCTGGGAGGCTGAGGCGGGAGGGTCCCAAGTTCCAGCCCAGCCTGGGCAATTTAAAAAGACCCTGTCTCAAAATAAAGTTTAGAAAAGAAAAGAGAGAGAGCGCGCAAAATGCTGGGCATGTAGCTCTTGCAAAAGCAAAAAATAAAAAAGTTATGGAACGATCCAGGAGCACGCATCCCAGGATGGAGACTGAACAAGGCGGTGAGGGAGCAGCAAACAAGCATGTACTCTGTAAGGACAGATTTTTTTCCAAGGGCACCCGATGGCGTAGCTGGTAGCAGGGTGGCCTTGGGGGACCCTGCGCAGCTCCCGGTCCTCCACCAGGTGGCAGAGCTCCAGGAGCAGGTGACAGCCCAGAGCCAGGAGCGGGCCATCCTGCACCGCTGCCTGCAGGACAGAGCCGCGGAAGTGGACGTGGAGCGGATGGGTGCCAAGGTCGGTGCCGAGGCAG